TGCCACTTCCCAGGTGGTGTTTGGGATCCAGGCTAGCCCCAGTCACCCTGCCTCGTCAGGAACTCCCTGTTGTCCCCTCTCCAGCCCACTGAGCTGTTTTTCCCCCCTCAGCATCTCCCCTCCCAAGGTGCTTTCTGCATTGCTGGCACTGGGGTAGTGATACTGAGACAGTTACTTCATAGCAAATCAGTGGCTTGGAGCAAAAAATCCAGTTCACTGATGCAGGTGAGATGAAGCACCTTGTTAGAGCAACCTGAGACACAGCTGAGCTGAGTCTGGAGGGGAAAATAGCTTTGCCTCCTTCTTTTCCTGAGACAGAAGTACCACCTGCATGTTGTACCAACAAGAGCAGTGGGACCCACTGATCCCCTGGGCACCAGGATGGCTCCTCCCTGGGACAACAAGGGAAGTGAGAGGAAGTTTTACATGGATTTAAGTGCTTAACTGAAAAATGGCTGAGTTGCCTTTTTAGTTCATAAGGGGCGAGGGATGCTCTGGGGTGCAGGGTGCTGCTGCTTTGGTGATTGTTGGCCTCCGTGGATGCCTCAGCCATGCTCCCTGCCCTCTGAAAAACCAGTTAAGGTCAAATGAGAGGCCTCAGCTGGTTTCTTGTTGTCCTGTCTGGATAAGCCGTCTGCTAATGGCACTGGCTCTTCCTCTGGAAACCTGATAGCCTAAGCTGAGCAGCCAGGGGGATGTGAGGGGGATGTGGTAACCTCGTCTGAGCAGGGATGTTCAATTCAGGGATGTTCAATTCACCCTCACTCTGCCTGCTTTAGGAATGTTCAATTCACCCTCACTCTGCCTGCTTTAGGAATGTTCAATTCACCCTCACTCTGCCTGCTTTAGGATGTTAATTCACCATTACTCTGCCTGCTTCAGGCTTGTCGATGAAGGGGAGCTTGTGGCCTTGAGAGGCTGAGCAGTTGTCACTCTCAACACCAATACTGATGTGACACGCACTCCTGATTGTTCGGGCTGAGTGCCTGGCTCCTCCGAAGGGGATGCAGAGGGCAGGACGGCCCTCGGTGTGCTCATTACTGGTGTCACACGTGTGTCCCAAGAGCCACCCTAATTCCTACCCCGTGCCAAAATCAGCTGGTCTCCTGACTGCCCTGCAGCCCGGCAGGGGTTTGGGGCTGTGCAGGAGGAGGGGCTCGGTGGCGGTGAAGGGCAGGCCCAGCTCCAGACGCAGAGGTGCTGAGGGCCTGGCCCCCGGCCAGCCAAGCACTTAGAGCTCGCCCGGCCGATCCCAGCTCACTCACGGGAGAGTTGTGGTGGGGTTTTGTTTTTCTTGCAGGCAGTGTTGGGTTGCAGCAGCAGAGCCAGGGGCTGGGAGGAACACCCGGCTGGTGGGTGCCAGCAGGAGCAGGTGAGCCAGGATCCTCCTCCAGGCTCCTGCAGCTCCTAACAGCCACTGCTGGCCCAAATGTCCACTCCAGGGGACTTCCACTGAAATACTAAAAGGGAGGTGGGACTGCTTTACTGTCCACGCTGTTGCATAATAGATTTTTCTTGTATTTTACTCACATGCACATTCACGTCTTTTTCCTCTTTCTCCCTGGGGGCCACCTGACCCTCCGGTGCCCCTTCCAGTGATGGGAAGCCTGGGGATGACCACATGGCTGTGCTCAGTGGGATCCACAATGCTAAATAGCAGGAAGACTCTTTTTTTAACCTCTTTTTCTCTGCCAGAGTGAGTAGGCTGGAGGCTTTTCCGCTGCCCCCGGGCAGGATCAGTCCATGTCAGCCAGCTGGGCTGGCGGTGACCCCATGGCTCTCACTGAACCATTTCTCCCCAGGGAGACACAGACCCAGCAATGCCTGTTGAGGAGGTGGGTGTTTGCTTGGAGGCTGTCCCTGATAAACCCATCCTGGAAAGTAATCTGGCTAAATGCTCTTTTGGTCAGCTTTTAAATTTTTTTTAAAAAATTTAATCAGTTTTCCATCTTTCCAGAAATCCTCTGGAGGTGCCGATTTTGCAACCCTCAGAGCCTGTTCCAGGCTGTCCTTATCCTTACACGTTACAACACCCTATCCATCAGTGGGTAAATGAGGCTTGGATGAAGTTTCGGTTTTAAATTACTTCAAGGGTGGATCTGGTTTTCATGTAACCAGAGGGTAATTTGGTGGGTTTTTTTTCTTACATGGTGAGGGAGGTGTCTCTGGGGTCAGCTTTTTCTTTCTGATGCAACCCACTCCTACTGAAAGAGGGCTCTTTGCCCAGAAATACTTTTTTTTTTTTTTTTTTTCAGCCCTGGTGACAAAGGGAGGGCCAGGCTGTTTCTTCTGGCAGTGGTCTGCAGGGAAGTTTGGGAGGTTGTGAAGAGCACAACTTTTTGTAGAGCCTTGGGACAGCTCAGTGTGCACTGTGGAACCATGTGGGGAGCTCAGAGCATCTCTGGGCTGGATGGGCTTTGCTGCCTCCTTCCCGGAGCCTCTCCTGGCTGCTGTCTGCACACCCTCCCAGGAGGGCTGGAGAGGAGCCAGCCTGCTCCAGGCTGCAATCTCACCCGCTGCTCATCCACCCCTGCGTGCTGCTGGTTCTTCTCTAGGGCATCCAGCTCTGCCAGGCTGCAGCAGGGTGCATGTTCCATCAGAGAGCTTCCCTCTGCCATTGCTCCAGGATCAAGCTCTTCCTCTCTTGCCACATCCCAGGTAGGATAAGGACCAGTTTGTACACTCTGCCTCCCCCATGGGACAGGAGGAGATGTGGCTCACCTTGGTGACAGAGGATTTGTCTTTGAGGGCTTGCCCCAGGTCACCTGGCCTTGTTCCCCTGCCCAGGTGTGCCTGTGGAGCTGGGACCCCACCAGGTGCTTAACTTCGTGTCTTTGCCCACATCCTCAGTCAGCCTTTCCCAGCAAGGACTCGAGGTGCAGCCCCATGGTGGGACATGTGGCTCATGTCACAGAGCCCACGCCACCCTGATGGGGACACTGGTGCTGAGCAGGGCAGAGCCTGCAGAGTGTCTCTGTGAGACCTGGGCTCTCAAAATCCCTCCAGCCCTCCTTTCCCTGGTGGTTCCTGGTCCTGCAGTGCCAGAGGGAGGGCTGGTGCAGGACAGCCCTTGCTGCTGGGGATGGTGCCATTTGTGCTTGCTGGGCTTCCTGCTCAGAGTCACTTCCTTCCAGCTGCCCGGGGACCAGCAAGGTGTTAGAGGCAGCAGGTGGGCGAGGCTGCTGTGCTACTCTGTGGTGAGAAAGCTCAGGGGCTGCACAAAGCAAACCCCAGCTGCCTTCCCCGGCACACTCAGGCAAGTTTGGGAGGGTGAGAGAGAGGAGCAAGCAGCTGCAAGTATGCGTGGGCTGGAGGTTCCTGCCCCATCCTCACGGAGGCTGCCCTTTGCCCTAGGAATTCCCTGCGTGCTTTTGTCCTTGATAAGCACCTCAGTTGCTCCGGGGCTTTCTCCACTGCATGGATTTTAGGTGTGCACTTTGTAACACCAGCTCTGCCTCACTAGGTAGTAAGTAACCTGCTGGTGAAGGGAGGGGTGAGCACAGGGCACAGCCAACTCTGCAGCATCCCAAAGTGCAGACAATATGCTTGCAGTGTGGTGCAAAGGCAGGCCAGGAATATTCCAGCACTTTACTTTGGTAGTTATTACCTGGTAAATTACCATGAAAACTCATCTGACACGTTTTCCCCCATTGTGTTGGTCAAACCCTGCATCCTCCAAGGACAGGATTAGCCTTCAACCCCATTGTGTGTCCTGGATGCAAAGACCTGAGCTGTGGTAAGGGTTTCTATGGGCTGAAATAACCTGCTGTGTCACTAAGGATATGAGCACATGGGTAAGGTTATCACAGGGCATGCTAACATTTGAGCTGCCAGACAGCTCCTTTCCAGAGGGTAGATGATGCCTCAAAAAGTCACATTCTTGCTTATTTTAGGAAGCTTGTCCGTCCTTGCTTTGCAGCCCCAAGGAACTGGGTCTTTCTATGCTCTTGTCACAACTTGATCAGCTTTGGAGGGTTATTAGATTCATAGAATATCCTGAGTTGGGAGGGACCCACAAGGATCATAAAGTCCAACTCCTGGCTCTGCACATCCCCAAAATCCATAGAATGGTCAGTCTGGATATGTTCTGTGCCAGACAATGAGTAGGCTGCCAATGTCTCCAGGTGCACCCTCAGTACTGCACAGGAGCAGGATCCAAGAGAGGATCCCATGTTCTTTGTGCTTTACAAGTCCTCCCAAAGTCAATCTCTGTGTCTGCCTTGCTGTGGGGTTTGGAGAGCATCATCTCTCATGATGCAGTTTAGTGCTGTGGGTGATGAGCAGGTCACATTTCTGTCTAGTTTTAAACTGCAGTAAATAGAAATGAAAGGCGAGATGATCCACAGTGAGTGCAGTAAGTGGAGTTTAATTGGGATGAATTACATGCCAGGTTTGCAGTAATCTCCATCCTGCATTGCTCAGAAGCATCATCTGCTTTGGAAACGTGACTCAGAAATGTTATTTGATTCCCACAAGCATTTAAGAAACTATTTTTCCAGGAAGCAAAAATTCTTGGGTTTGGGTTGGGTTTCGTTGTTTTAGTTTGTTTTGTTTTTTGTTTTTTGGGGTTGTTTTTGTCTTGCTGCTGCTTTGTTTTCTCTTTGTTCTATGGCAATAGGAGTCCTTTCCCAGAATTTCTTCTGGGCAGGGAGGCTGTGAGATGTTCCCTTACCAGTGTCCTCCTTGCTTAGTGCTAATGCTCCAGCATGCTTACAGCTGCTCCTTCCTGGGGATTCCTGTGGCGGAGACATTTTTGGGGAACACAGAGGTAACTGGGGGGGTTCTGGCTGGGGAAACCTCCTTGAGAAGTAGTAAGAGGGGGCTGTGCTTACAGGCTGTAGGCCTGGGCTGCCATCATGTACTAGGTGCTAACCCAGCTCTTCAGATGACTAAATCCACTTCATCTATGCCCTTCCTTCTCCAATGCCATGGGAATTCCAAGAATCACTGAACATTCCCTTTGTTTTCAAAGAAAACCCTTTGTTTTCCCTTCCCCTTAGTGGATATTCGTGAGATCAAAGAGATCCGTCCAGGGAAGAACTCGCGTGACTTTGACCGGTACCAGGAGGACCCGTGTTTCCGAGCAGACCACTCGCACTGCTTCGTCGTCCTCTACGGCACAGAATTCCGCCTGAAGACCCTCAGCTTGCAAGGTAAAGCTCTCCTGGGGGTCTGCCAGACAGGGTTGAGCCCAAGCTTCATCCTTACAGGGCCCAAACAGCTGCTTGGGGACAAAGGTAACTCCCAGCTCTTGGGAAGTGGAGGAGAACGGAGTGGGACATGCAGGGGCGAGAGGTCCAGCCAGCCACATCCATCCCACTGGAGAGGAACAGGAGATTGGCAGGGAGAGGAGCCAGCCAGAGCATCTGCATGGGGGGAAATGTTACCAGAAAGGGGATGAAGCAAGGAGTAGGGCATGTAAGGTGCTGGGGATAGTCCCAAGAGGTTTGTGTTGGTGATCAAGCCTGTGTGTCCCCTCTTCCCACTTCTGTACGACATTTTCCACAGCCACTTCTGAGGATGAGGTCAATATGTGGATCAAGGGGCTGAACTGGCTGGTGGCAGACACTCTGAGAGCACCCACTCCCCTGCAGATTGAAAGGTGAGGAAAGCCTGTCCTTTTCCTGCACTTGGTTTTATTTCCCTTCTGTCTGTTTTAACAGAAAAAGGTGAGCACACACTCATTCCCTCTCTGAGCTGTGCTGACCCAGCACTTCTGCCTCTGCACTCCAGAAGCTTCATCCTGCTGACCCCAGCATTTGATCTCATGCATCAGGGAGAAGGAGTTTTACCACAAATTGATGTTTCTGTGTGTGCACAGCCTGTATTATCTGTAGCACTTCAGTGCAGAGGCATTTTTAAAGCAGAACTTGTATGAAAATAGGGTGGGCTGCCTGTGAAAGGGGGCAGAGCTGGGTTCTCTGGTGGGAAGGAGGGATGTGGGAGTGGATGGTGGGGCACTGAGCATTTTTCAGAGAGGGATTGGAGCAGGGGCTGGTTGCTGAAGGGCTGAGTGTGTGCCTGTTTGTGCCTTCCCACCTAGGTGGCTCCGGAAGCAGTTCTACTCCCTGGATCGCAACCGGGAGGACAGGTAAGGAGGGAGGAACCTGCAGTCGTGTTCAGGGGAGGGTTTGGGCTGGAAGGGTTCACCTTTGACTTGAAACCCCAGCCTTTGGGTTTTTTGTTGGGTTCTTTAGGCTTTTAATGCTCATTTTCAAGGAACCTTAATCCAAATCCCAAACTTCCCTGGCTGATTTTCACTGAATTAAAAGAAGCATAAAAAAGCTGTCTTGTTTTCCTGACCTATTTCTCAGCTGTTTAGACCCAGTAACACCTTGAGAGCCCACAGCTGTGAAACACCTTCCCCCCACCTGGCACCACCCAAGGAAGCAGACATCAAAGAGCCAGGAGGCAGTTCAGGGCACCCCATCAGGGCTGAACTGGGTTGTGTTTATTACTCTCCACCCTGTTTGTTCTATTCTTCTTTTCTGAGGCCCACGAGGGCATGGATGATCCCTCTGCTTGGCTTGTGGGGCTCTTGGGTGGGTACTTAGTGTTGTCCTAGCAAGTAAAATGTCATGCTTGTCATGAGGAGGTGAGGGAAGGGAATTGGGTCATGATTCACCCTGAGATAAGGGAGGGGACATTTTCCTGCTGGGGAGGTGAGTTCCACCGTGCTCTGCTCTCTGTCCCACTGCCATCACCAGTTTTGCAGTCCCAATGCTGGCTGCCAGGCTGTGAGCTGCTGCTGTTTGCCTCCTTCCATCCGTGGGCCATGCTTCTCCCCTGTGATGTTAACTGAGCCCATTAACCTTTCAGCATTGATTCCTGTGTTCATGTGCTCCCCTGGGGGCACAGCCCTGCCTCCCCCAGCTGCTGTGCAGCACGTGGGTCCCACCTGCCCCTTTTCCATGCTCTGATGTCCAGAGAGCTGCAGAACACTGGGGGCTGGAGCATCCTCTGCTTTGTCCTTGTTGTGACCCTCCCAGGACAGCCAGCCAGGGTGTAAATTGACCCTGTCCAGGAGCAGGGCAGGAGTGTGTTACATGGGGCAGACCCTGCTGCACTGGACATTTTTGCCTTTGCAGTGATTTACACTGTGCTGTGATGAGAGCACCGCTGGGTGCACGGGGATTTTCTGGAGGGGGGATAAATCCTACAGAAGCAGAAAGGGAAGAAGAGGAGCTTTAATCTGTTGCAGCTGCTCTGCATAAGCCACACACCTTCCGAATCCAGGTTTGGGCTGTATACACAGTGGTGACTGGGCACAATATTTCCTAATTTTTCAATGGAGAGCACTGAGGCAGGTGCAGGGGTAGCTGTCTGGAGGTTTTGGAGGAGGAGTGCACGAAAAGTGGAAATAATTGGTCCTTTTTTCCCTCTGGTTATGCAGTAAAACTGATGAAATGGCATCCCAGCAGTACAAAAGGAGATTGCATGTATAGATCTGTCTGCCCAAGGCAGATCAGCAGAGCTGACAGCCAGCCTGTTGCATCCCTGTTGTTTCTATTGATATCATCTTTCTATTAGCATTTAGAATTAAGGCAGCAAAATCCAATATATTCCTTACCTGTCACCCACAGAGAGAGGTTTCAGTGCAAAACCCTTAATTAGGAGAGCTGCTGCTCCAGCCCAGGCAGTGAGAGGAGCAAAACATCAACAGAAGGACTGTGGAAAGACTTGGGGTCTTCCCATTTTACAAACATTTTACAAGCATCCATGTGTTTTCTGCAAGGTAGAGGCTACAGTTATGTGACATAAACATCTCCTGGATTAAATCTTGGCCCCTGTGAGGCATTCCAGCATTAAATTTAATGTCATTGAGCTATTTGCTTTTCCTTTTCAGCCTGGAAGTGGGTTTTCAAAGGGAACAGTGAATTGTGATTTTTATTTTTTTTAAAAACCCCACTTGCACACCATCCTTGATCCTTTCCAGAGCAGATAGGGTTTTGGCAGCTGCAGAAATCGTTCCCAGCATTTGTGTACCCCATGGCTCTTGTGCTGGAGCCCTTTCTTCTCTCTGCTCTCCGCCTTCCCCGGCTGGGGGCCAGGCTGTCCCTTCCAGCCCCAGCAGATGGTGGCTGTTTCCACTGGCTGCTGGCCCTTTGGGTATTTGTTTTTCCAAGGGAGGTTAGGTGGAAAGAGGAGGATAACAGGATGCTGGGGTTTTTTTCCTAATTGCTCTGGAGGAGACTGTTTCACCTCTGGCCAGGAGAGCTGCCCGTGGCTGGGAGCAGCATTTACAGCACTGAGGGCTGGCAGGGGAATGTTTCCATGCCCTGTGAGCGGGCTGGGCCTCTGGCCTGTTTGTCATGAAACCTTAAAAATTGTTCCATAGAAAAAATTACTTTATTTTGTTTTTACTTTCTAGTCTGAAAATATTACCAAGCTGTTTATCCAAGGTCTCCAGCACTTTAACATGATGAATAATACACAATAAATAAAATCCTTCCGTACCCTGTCCTCCTTCTGTAGCTGAGAGGGAAATACTGGTCACAGCTTTGACAGGGCTTGCTCTTGTCACATCAGGGAGCAGGGCTGTGGTCCAGCACCTCCTGTGAAACAGCTCAGCATCACCAGAGCTGAGTGGCAGCTCCAGAGATTCCCCAGGGATGGCTGCTGCTGATTCTGCTCTTCAGCTTCTCCTGCTCTTTTTCCAGGAGCTTTTTTGCAGTCTCATGCTCTCACCAAGGAGGGATTGCTGCTGGGCAGCCCTGGGGACTCTGTGTCCTGTTGGGGGTCCCTGACAGCTGTTACAGGTGTGGTTCCTGACATGTGAGGGCATCTCTCGTTGTACTCCTGGCTCACTCCACACATTTCCCTGTCACCCAGGACCCCCTGCCCAGGGGGTCACACAGCACCCTGCACATGACTATGGATCTGGGTGTGTTGGAGAAGGGAAAGGGCAGGATCTCTCCCCAGAACACTCACTCTGAGCCCCCAGGGTAGCTTCACCTGCCCAGGGAGGTAAGGTGCAGGGGAGATACTGGTGCTGTGTGTGTGCTGCTGTCTGTACAGCCATGCGGAAAGGGGAGGCTGGGGCCATTCCCCAGCTTCTTTTTTCTTCTTTATCTCTTCTGCCAGTGAGTGGCAGGACACTGCAAAGTCTTTAGATGGCCGGGTGCTGGCTTTGGTCAGGCCACAGGGGCTGGGCCAGGTCCTGCTCTGGCCGTGTGTGTCCGGGTCCCCAGGGCTCTGAGCCCAGAACAAGGGCTCTCTGTGTCCCGCTGCCTGCCCAGCCCTGGCCTCTGCAGCGCCTGACACCAGCCGGTTTCTCCCTCTCCCTGGAGCTCTCTCCATCCCTCCTCCTTCCTGTGGTGTTTGAGATCACCCTGCTTTCAGGGAAGAGTGTAAAAAAGATGTCACATGTGAATGCCAGTGTGCCCCCAGGTTAAATCCCCCGTGCAGGGCATCTTCCCTGGTATTTTTATATTTGCACCCCAAAGCCATAAGGATTTCCAGACTTGCCCCATGCTTTGTGGGATGGGGGAGCATCCTGTAGGATCCTGTGTTCCCACGTGCTCAGTGGGGGACAGAAGCACCATCTGTGATTGCAGGGGTGGACTCCCAGGACTTGCTTTTAAGGCAGGAGCTGCCAGAAGATGATTGGACACAGACCCCTCAGCTTCTAAATTCTGCAGATGGGAGGCATCCTCATTTTTCCTTGCTGCAGGGCTGGTGCCCCATGTGGGGACAGCTCCAGAAAAGGCAAGGGTAGCCCAGAGCTCCTTCCTGCCTGTCTCTGCCTGCTGGGCTGTGGGATCCTGCTCAGGGTTGGCACTGGAGCTTTCCCTGGTCTGGAACCAGCACCTTTGGTGTGGAGGGCTTTGGGAAGCACAGCCACACTGGCTGCTGCCTGCCTGTGGTGTGTGTGGCTGGGAGAGCACGGCTGGACACGACGTGGCAGTGCTGTGCCTGTGGCTGGGGACCTAAAATGGCTTTTTTCCTCTCCTTAAGATAAAATTAGCTGAGTCCTAACCACTTAGAGAGCCTGTCCTGTCCAGGGAGTGGGTTTTGGGAGGGAGTTGGTCACCCAGCATCCATGTTGGGGCACAGGTACTTGAAAAATGCTTCTTTCTGGTCATTCATTTAAAGCAGTGGGTGCTGCCTGTCAGCTGTGGCATCAGCTCGATTGGGCAGAGGCTGCTGGGCTCACCCTGCTCTGTCAGGAGTTACAGGAGCAGTGTTTGCAGTCCCCACTGACATGCAGATACCTCTCTCTGCTCCCCACATCTTCCCCACTGTCCCCAGCCTCAGCATTGTTCTGGGGTCACACATCTGTCCTTGTGCCACAGCTGGTGTCCCTTTGGGCACGGCCTCTCTTCCAGCCCCAGGGTGAGACCCCTCCATCCCAGACTCCTGAACATGTCTCCCTCTTTCCCCTGCCGAGCCAGGATCTCTGCCAAGGATCTGAAGAACATGCTGTCTCAGGTCAACTACCGGGTCCCCAACATGAGGTTCCTGCGGGAGAGACTCACGGTGAGCGTGTGACCCCTCCACTCTGCCCCTCAGCAGTCCATTGCCTGCCTTTGAGCAAAAACTGGTGGTGGTTCAACTCCCAGGGAGTGTTTGCATATTGCAGAGCCTTCCAGCCTTTCCTGGGAGGGCCCCCACCCACGGTGGTGACTGAAGAGGTGCCAGCTCCCACTGGGTGCCGCACCCTGGCCCATTTGTGGCCAGCACCCTCTCCTTACCCCACCCTGCCTCCCACATTCCCCTCATTGCTCCTGGCTCCAGTCATGGGCTGGTGCTGGTGGGGTAGAGTGCAGAACAGCTACCAGGTCCTGTATCCTGGCTCTTGCACCCCCTGCCAGCCAGGGATGCTCTGCCAGCATCACCACTGACCCGGGCATGAAGGGTCATCTCATGGTGACAGCTGCTCCCACCAGCACAGACCTCCAAGGCCAAAGAGGGGTGTATCCAAAGGAGAGCACACACTCTGGGTCTTGTGGTTTCCAGACACTTCAGATATTCTGGGTGAACAAAAAATCAAATTATCCTTTTGTAAGTACTCAATAAGTGGTGACACTTTATCATTGTGTGGGTTGCCTTTGTGTGGATGAGCTTGGGGAATGATGAAACTCATTTTAGGATGTGCCTGTGCCCTGGGCACTGCAGGGTCCCGCTGGCCCCAGCAGAGACTGTGGCAGATTTGTTAAGATTGGAAAAATCCTCTAAAATCATTGAGTCCAACCATTACCCAGCACTTCCATGTCCACTAAACCATGTCCCCAAGTGCCACGTCCACATGTTTTTTGAGCATGTGCAGGGATGGTGACTCCACCACTGCCTGGGCAGCCTGTTCCAATGCCTGACCACTGTTTTCATGATTTTTTCAAAATATCCAATCTAATCCTCCCCTGGCACAACTTGAGGCCACTGTGCAGGAGACAAAGTCTGAGCGCGTTTTGGCCTTTTCCCTCTCCTTCTTTCCCCAGGGATTCTGGTGGGAAGAGACATTCCTTAAGCCGCACAGAGTTACCTGTGGTCTCTGTAAAACCTCTGGGTTTGATCTGTTTTTCAGGATGTGGAGCAGAGGAACGGGGATATCACGTACGGGCAGTTTGCACAGCTCTACCGCAGCCTGATGTTCAGTGCGCAGAAAACAGTAAGAGCTGAATTCTCCAGGGGAGGAGAGGGAAGGGAGAAACCATATTTGTTACTGGGCATTCCCACTTAATTGACTTTTTAACCCTGCTGCGCTTGGGGTGAGCTCTTCTCTTGGGAGTAAAGAAGTTACCAAGTGCAAACCTAATGCTTGTGCTTCTTCTTTTGCAGATGGATGTCCCGTTCTTGGAAAGGTGGATAATTCTCTGTGTTTTCTGGGGAAGGGGCTGTTTTCTTCTGCTCCATAACATGCTTTGGGGCCTGCAGTAGCATGTTGGGTTGAGGCATTATGCACTCCTCCTGCTCCTGTGCTGCCTGTGGTTCTGTGCTCTGAACAAGCATCACTGCTGTAGACACTTTAGCTCGGGGCAGGGAGGGATCTCTCCCTCGCAGACATCCCAGTGGGATCTAGCTCAGGTCAGCTGGTTGATGTGATCAGACCTTGAGCCATCTCCCGGGGATTATGCTCGTGGTGGCTGCAGGGCCCTCCCCACCCAGGCAGTGCCTTTGGTGCCATTGCCAGCTGTGCCCTTCCCTGCCCTCTGCTCATCTTGGCTGTGATAGAAAGAGCTTGAATTTAGACACAGGAGCTAAAGAGTGAAAGACTTACTGACTTGTCCAGGTAATTCCCAATGGTTTCCTTCCTTTTTTTCCTGTAACCATAGAAAAGGGACGTCAGGACCCTCAGCAGAGCATCTGGCTCATCCCTCTGCCCAGGGCAGCCAGCACTGTCCAGTCCACTTTGGATTTTGTGGTGTTAGTGCCCAGCATGGCCCTTGGCTGTGACTTGGCATTGGCATGGCCTTGGCATTGTGACAGCAGTCATGGACCAGTCTCTTGAGATTATCAGCTACAAACAGTTCTCTTCTTCATTCCCTGTGTCTTGCCTCCATGAGTCCATGTTCTCTGCATACCTGTAGGTCTGTCCTGTCTGCAGTCACCCCTTAACTGCCCTGCCTCTATTTAGTTCTTTACACTCAGCTTCAAACCAAACCCTCTATTTTTTTTTCACTAATCCATTCCTCTCATGGTTTTTGCTGCCCTTCATCAGAATTTCATGTTACCATGCCCTTCTCAGTGTGAACCCTGTACTGCTCCTGGAGTAGTCCCTGCTTCTGGGATGTGGGCATGTGTTTGCTCTCAGCTCTCTGCTCATCCCACTCTGCTCCTTCAGCGCTGCACGCTCGGGGCACATCTGGCTGCACGTGCCAAGGAGGTGGCACCTGGCATCTCACATGAGGTGCTGCACAAGTGACTGAAGCTTCTCTCTCTTTGCTTGTCAGGGGTGCAGAAAGGTCTGAGCACTTCAGGGTATCGCTGCTGGAGCTGCAGAAGTTTTTGCTGGAGTACCAGAGGGTGAGCTCAGCGCAGGCACTGGGGAGGGACAGTGGGGTAGGCACTGGGACATTAGGGGTCCAGTGCTCCGAGGGTAGCCTTGCTGTGGAGCTGGGATGATTGGGCTGTGGGCTGCTCTGCCTGGCACAGCACATCCTTCTGGAGCAGGAGGTATTGAAGGGGAAGCACGGGGGAGGGCAGGCCTGAACTCAGCTGGGCACCCTGGCCAGAAAGGAACCAGGAGATCTGGGAGGAGTGGGGTTCCCAGGAGGCAGGAACTGATCAGTGGAGGTTGACCCAGTCCCCGTGACCTCAGCTGGCTACCAAAGGTTTGCTGCAGCCAAGAAGTCATGTCCATCCTGTTGCTCAGGAGGTGTCAGCAGTTCCTGAGGAGCAGCTGGTGGATTCTTCAATTTAAAAGCAATCTTGGGTCACTCAGCAAGCACAGCATGCATGTGCAGACACACACGCAGGCACCAGCTGTGCATTTGTGGGCAGCACAGACCCCTTGGCTCTTGCCAGGTTCCTGTCTCATTGCTGGTCTCCTCCAGGAGGGCAGGGCTGGCTGGCAAAAGCCCTGCCACGGCTCATAGCTCCTGCTCTGCCCAGTCCCCCACTACCACCTCCCTGCCTGTGGTCTGCAGCCAGCAGGGAGTTAAGCAGTGGGGAGATGCAGTGTTTTGGTGGCTAATGAAAGAAACCCAGGATGAGAGAGCCAAAGGAAGCTGGGTTGGCTTCTGCTGCTGTAGGAGGAGGGATGGCAGATGTTGTTCAAAGGAGCTATCGGAGAGAAAAATGCACGGCTTTGAGGAAACGAAGCCCACTCAGAAGCAGGGCAGATTTCCTCCTTGTGTGCTCTCCAGCATTTGTGCTGACAGTTGAGTTCCTGGCAGAGATGGGCTTGCATCAAAAACCGCCTCCTTAATGGTTAAAGCTTCGAACTGGATGAGCTGCATGTGGTTTGCAGTAATACATTCTGAAATGGCTTCTTTTATGTCTCCCCTGGGTTTTGCAGGAGCTCTGGGCTGCAGATACCCTTCAGGTACAGGAATTCATGTTCAGCTTCCTGAGAGATCCTTTGAGGGAGATTGATGAGCCTTATTTCTCCCTGGACGAAGTAAGACACCTTGAAGGTGGCGTGTGTGGAGTGGGGTGATGCAGGGGATGGCATCCCTGGTGTGATGTGTGCTGTGGGGTGACAGTCTGCTGTCTGTGCCTTTGCTGCTGGGTGGGGGTGCTGGAAGGGTCACAGCTCCTGGGAGCTGTGTGGCCCTGGGAGATGGATGTGGTTGGCAAAGGGAATGGCTTCTGGGCTGTCCTTTTGTGCTGAGTGTGTGCAGCTGGGAGTACTCACCAGGCAGTTCATCTGGAGGAGGAGAGGGGCTGCCTTTGGCTTAAGGCTGCCTTGGGGTATGTAAGGATTTCTTCAAAGTAAAAAGAGCTGAATAAAGAATAAAAGCTAGAGATGACCATGTCACTGGCACTCTGGACTAAGCCAAGGTCCCTTGACCTACATGGCCTTAGTAAGCTATTGCCTGCCATGTGAGCTGCAAAATAAAATGCAGAGCCATTAATTTGTCTCTAACTGGGTCAAAGGGTCTGGCACACAGATATTTGGCAGAGCTCAGTGGGTAGGTGGCAGTGCCCAAGCTGTGGTCACTCAGACACCCTGGCTCAGGTAGCTGGTGTGCTGTGGGCAGCCCTGGTCAGTCTGCTGGATGTCTGCTGGCACAGAATGGGAGATGTGTGTGAAGCTAAACCACGGCAGCTGGCTCCTCTGCATCATTAACACGCTTCTGTTTCTTCCTGAGCAGTTTCTCACCTTCCTGTTTTCCAAAGAGAACAGCATCTGGAACTCACAACTGGACATGGTGTGTCTGGAGAACATGAACAACCCTCTCTCCCATTACTGGATCTCCTCCTCACACAACACGTAAGGACAAGGGGAGGGCTCTCTCCACCCAGCTGCTCTCAGCATCCTTTTCTCATGCTAGAGTGGGAGTATTTTGCCTGATTCCAGTGGTGGGTCAAAAAGGCTTTTCCAAACCAAGGCAGTACATCAGAGACCTTGGTGCATCCTCTTGGAGCCTCCCTCCTCCCTTCTGTCATTTAGCCATAAATGTTTTGCTCAGGCACTGTCAGCAGCACAGATCTGCACAGGCCTTCAGGTGCCTTCACGTCCTGAGCTGTTGCTCTGGTAATTTCTCACCATTAGCACTGTCATTCTCCAGAGCTTCTCAGGACAGATATGATAAACCCTGTCAGGCTGAAATTGGCCATTTTCCGCTCTCTGCTGCTAGGATAATTTTGCAGGAACTGCTTTCTGTGCAGACAGGCTCTGTCTGTGCTCTGTGTTCATGTTAACCCGAATTTAAAGGACTGAGAGCCAGCTGAGCAGCCCTGAGGGCAGGCAGTGAGATCCTGTCTGCCTGCAAGAGCTCATCTAACCGTGCTCTCAGGCTGCAGGGGGCTCTTTGTGGCACCAGTGCTGATATTGCTGTCTGAGGTTTGTCTCAGGAGCTGGGGCTGGACCTCAGAGGAGGGCTGGCAGCCCCTTGCAGCAGGGGCACAGCGGAACCCCTCACCCTGGGAAAGTGGCAGGTGTGGAAAAGCACCACTCCCGCCATTCCTGTGTGCCAGTGGCAGGTCCACAGTGTCCCAGCAGACACCTGTGCCCACAGTGGGCTGGTCAGTGTGCTGATGTGTTGTCTCACCTGGAAGGTACCTGACGGGGGATCAGTTCTCGAGCGAGTCCTCGCTGGAGGCCTACGCCCGCTGCCTGCGCATGGGCTGCCGCTGCATCGAATGTGAGTACCCCCACCGGCCCTTCTGTCTGCCACCACGGCAGCTTGTGGTGCTCAGGGGAGGCTGTGCAAGGAAGGCAGAGCTGAAGGTTGGCCTGGCCAGGGCAGCATGAACATCACGATGTGCAGAAAGAGCTGAGGTCGTTTGCTTTGTGGGACTGGGTGATCTGTGCCCAAGGTTTTGGTCCCACAGGAAGATCAGGGCTTTCACTGATCACCTCACTCCTTTATTGCCTTCCAGTAGATCTCCCAGCAGCACCTGGCTCAGTCCATCTCATGTCCATGTCCTGCCTCTGTTCCAGCCTTTGGGCTAAGTTTCCCCTGTGGGTCTCTTTCAGTGGATTGCTGGGACGGTCCCGATGGCATGCCGGTCATCTACCACGGACACACCTTAACCACCAAGATCAAGTTCTCTGATGTCCTGGTCACTATCAAGGAGCACGCCTTTGTCACCTCTGAGTGAGTACAGCAGGACTTCAGCTAGCAGGGCAGAGAGAGGGTGGAGCCAAGGCTGTAGCAAAGTGAAGCTCACTTTATCCAGAGCTGCAGCACAAGGCCTGGATATGGTGGGAAGAAAGCATGTCATGTCTGCCAGCCAAAGGGAGAATTTTTTTCCCAGAAAAATGTTGTGGGAGAGAGGGCTTGGGGTAAACCCCAGTAGTTTGCCAGTCCTTCTCCACCCTGTGCACTCCTGATGGGTGGCTACAGGCAGCACCGATGGCTGTTGTTGTGAGCTGCTCCTGGAGGGCACAGAGGCCAGGCTTTTAGACAGAGCTCAGAAATCCTTGGTTCCATCCAGATCCCATGCTGGTCTTGATGGCTCTGCTCCTTCTCCCAGTTTCCCCGTCATTCTGTCCATTGAGGACCACTGCAGCATTGCTCAGCAGAGGAACATGGCTCAGAATTTCAAGAAGGTTTTTGGAGACATGCTCTTGACCAAACCAGTCGATATTTCTGCTGATGGCCTTCCATCTCCAAACCAGCTCAAGAGGAAGATTCTCATCAAGGTGAATTCCCTTGCCCAGCAAGGCTCCTAAGTGAGGGAATGGGGTGAGGGTATGGGACTGAAGGCAGCTGCCTTTGGAAGTGCGTGGTTGGCAGTGTAGGGGTGGAAGTGGAGACCTGATGCTAAGAACAGCTGGATACAAAAAAGCTCTCTCACTTCAGAGCATCTGCTGGGAAATGAGCTGAGCAGCTGGGTGCTGCCTTTCTTTGAGGGCATGGGGAATGTTGGCATTTCTGCTTGAGGAACCACCTTTGGGAAGAAGGGGTGGGACTTCAGTGCTGTTTGATGATCCCTGTGGCAGGGTCTTGTTTATTCTAATCTGGAGGACCCCACTGCAGCAGACCTGGGCTTTTAGGGCTGTTCACCAGGAAATGTGTGCTGCTTTTGGGGTGCCTGACCCCTCTCTCATCCCACAGCACAAGAAGCTGGCGGAGGGCAGCGCTTACGAGGAGCTGCCCACGTCCGTGATGTACTCAGAGAATGATATCAGCAACTCCATCAAGAATGGCATCCTCTACCTGGAGGACCCCATCAATCACGTATGTCTGTGCCATGGTGGCCCAGTCCCTGCTCTGAGGGTTCTGTCAACGACCTGGTGGCTCTGTTAGGTGCTGTGTGTGCTGGAAGGAAGGGCTGTGGTACCAGTGATTGAAGAGGCTCTCAGTCTGTCTGGTTTCTCAGGTGTCCCTGAAGGCTGGGGGCGTTTTATGCTGGCTCTCTCTGTGCTCTTCCTAGGAACCTCCTGTGGGCCCTTGCTAGAGGCAGAAGGCTGAGCTAGAGGGAGCTCTGGGCCAAGGCACTGCAGCCTGAGATTTGTGCTGCAGGAATTTCTGGAGATGGCTGCGCTTCCAGCCCTGCCTCCTGCCAAGTGCCTGCACACCTGACACGCCTAAGCAAGGGTTTATTTTTGTAAAGCACCAAGTGTTTATCACTGTGTGCATTTACTCACAGCCCACCTTCAGCAGCTTTACTCTGCTGAGGGTCTGTCTGGCAAAACCACATGCAAATGGAACAGTTTTGGGTTTTTTTAAACAGTAAAATGCAATGGTAAATCCACATAAACATCTCTGATATCTTCTCCTCAGATTGCCCCTGTGCTGAGTCCATGCAGACTGGGTTTTTTTTTTTTGCATTGATTTGCTCTTCATTTGGTCATCTCCTTTTATTAAGTGTTGGAGTGTTTGCAGTGTGATTTGTCACATGCTGGTTTTTTTGCTACTGATAAATCCATGCCTCTGGGGGATCTGGGGGATGTATTGGAAGCTCCTGTGACTCACTGGAATCAGTGCTGGTGGCTGTCCTTCACAAACCTGATCGTCCCTCCCTGTACTGGTCAGGAGGAGATGATCCCATGGGTGGGTGGTGGGCAGTTTGGTGCTTCCCCAGGGGTCTCTTTGCCAGAGTTCATTTCCTTGCAGGAGTGGAACCCACATTACTTTGTGCTGACCAGCAGCAAGATCTATTACTCTGGGGAGACAACCAGTGACCAAGGAAACGAGGATGAGGAAGAGCAAAAGGAGGTGAGGGCTCTCCTGTGGGACTGTGAGTTGTCCCCTAAGGAAAGGACTTGACTATCCCAGGGGCTGAGCACTGCCATTGCCAGCTGACTTCAGGGGGAGATCCTGTGGTGGGAAGGATGGGAGCTGTTTCAGGAGCTCCCTGCTCCCAGCTGGAAGACCCCTGAGCAAAGCAGAATCCAGCACCATGAACCTGCCCTCAGTGACCCAAGGTGATGGCTTTTTTCCCCTGCCAGGTGAGCAACAGCACCGAGCTTCACTCCACGGAGAAGTGGTTCCACGGGAAGCTGGGAGCGGGCCGTGACGGGCGGCACATCGCGGAGCGGCTGCTGACGGAATATTGCATCGAGACGGGGGCCCCCGACGGCTCCTTCCTCGTCAGAGAGAGCGAGACCTTCGTAGGAGACTACACCCTCTCCTTCTGGTGAGGGCCCCAGCGCCAGCCCGCTGCTCTGTGTCGCCCCGGGGCTTGTTTCCTCTTGACATATTCTTCATGTGGGGTCCATTCCTGGCTGGCCTCTGAGCAGTCTCTCCCCTGTTTCTGTGCCCAGCGTCATTCCACCTCCCTGTCCCAGTGCAGAAGGGTCAAGTCTCTTGGGATCCTTATGCAGTCACTCTCCCCTGGGGCAGGAATGCCATGTCAGGCTGGAGCTGTGCCTGAGGCAGGTGTAAAATCTCCGTGGATGAGCCTGGCTTACCCCCTCCCTCCCTCCCTGCTCCACAGGCGCAATGGGAAGGTGCAGCACTGCCGGATCCACTCGCGGCAGGACGCCGGCAGCCCCAAGTTCTTCCTGACGGACAACCTGGTGTTTGACAGCCTCTACGACCTCATCACCCACTACCAGGAGGTGCCACTGAGGTGCAACGAGTTTGAGATGAGGCTGACGGAGCCAGTGCCACAGACCAATGCCCACGAGAGTAAAGAGTGAGTGCACGTGTGTGTCCATTGGGCAGCCAGGACACTGTAGGAAGCTCTCCCAGATCTCTCCTCAGCCATTCCTTTCTGGTCCCCACTTTCTCCCCATGAAGCTCTGTCACAGTAGCCGTGCTGGCTGGCTCCATTGTTCATGGAGCTGAATGTCATGGAGGCTCAGTGCAGGGCACAGAGCTGCTGGGTTTGGTTGGGATGCCCTGGCCTGTGCCACACCTCACCAACAGACTCTGATCCTGCCTGCCCCATTGCAGTCCCTGTCTTCCTCTGAAGGATTCAAGGAGCCTTTTAGGGGCTGGAGGGGGAGCCACATGCTGCGGCAGAGGTGTGGGATGGGCTGGGCGTGTGTGACCTGTGCACAGCGATGTCTCTCCTGCCAGGTGGTACCACGCCAACCTCACGCGGGCCCAAGCCGAGCACATGCTGATGCGGGTGCCCCGCGATGGAGCCTTCCTGGTGCGCAAGAGGAGCGAGCCCAGCTCCTACGCCATCTCCTTCAGGTGTGTCCCTGCGACCGGGGTGGTGGGTGCTGGAGGGGGAGCTGGGACACTGCAGTGTGTGAGAGGGCAGGACAGGTGCTATCAGCCAGCCTTGAGCCCTCCCAGAACTCTTCTTGCTCTGGAATTGTCCTTGATCCTTGAGATCCTGCTCTTCCTCCCATCTTCCAATGGGAGATGGCTGTGCTCGGCCACCTCACCAGGGACACCTTTTCCTTGGTGTCTTTATTTTGGCAGAGACCTTCTCTTGCCAGGTGCCAAGTGGCTTCTCCCTGTGTTTGCTCCCTGCAGGGCAGAAGGGAAGATCAAGCACTGCCGGGTGCAGCAGGAGGGCCAGACTGTGCTGCTGGGCAACTCTGAGTTCGAGAGCCTGGTGGACTTGATCAGCTACTACGAGAAGCACCCGCTGTACCGCAAGATGAAGCTGCGCTACCCCATCAACGAGGAGACCCTGGAGAAGATTGGCACAGCGGTGAGTGCAGGAGCCAGAGAATGATGGACAGGTTGTTTTTGAGCTGGTGCCTTAAGGTGGTGGTGTGTGAGCCATCTCTGTGCTTTGCAGCCCACACCTCTTGGGGCTTCCTGACACTTGAGTGGAGTCTGGTGCTGCCCCTCTGAGCCAGGCTTGGGCTGCTCTTTGCTGTCTGCAGCATCATCTTTGTTCTTGTGCCTTCCTGGGGCACTCTCCCAACTACCCCAAGGTAGGGAACCCTTTCTCCTGCAGTCACTGCTGTAACCACTGTCCCTTTGCTTCCACAGGAGCCGGACTATGGAGCCCTGTATGAGGGACGCCATCCTGGGTTCTATGTGGAAGCCAACCCCATGCCCACCTTCAAGGTACACTCTCACTGTTTGGCAAAGCAAACTACAGGGCTGGAGGGTTTAGCAAGGATCTTTTTATTTTGTAAGAGCTGTATTCATTTGCACACCCATTTTAGACCATGAAGAGAGAGACAGTGGTGTTTGAACCTCCAGGTTCCCAGGCTGGGCTGCCTCTTGCTCTGAGCTCTCCAAACTAAGCCTCTCAGTGGCTCTTGGGACAGAGGAGAATGCCTGTGTGGGGCCATACCAAATTTGTGAGCTCTGCTTTGGTATAAATGGGGGCCTTGATTTGCTCTTCAAGGTGTCACTAAGGTCTGGCAGCAGGGCTGGATGCTGCCTGCCTGCACATGATGTGCCTCACAGCCCCCACAACAAACACATCTGTGGTGGGAGGTGATCTGTCCTGTGGGCTCGTTGTCCACGTGTCCATTCCCTGCCAGCCTCATGGGACCCTTCCTCATTGCAGTGTGCAGTCAAAGCCCTGTTTGACTACAAGGCGCAGAGGGAGGACGAGCTCACCTTCACCAAAAATGCCATCATCCAGAATGTGGAGAAACAGGAAGGAGGCTGGTGAGTTGGTCCTGAGCCTCCCTTTTCCCTAGGGGATATGGTCAAACCTTGCTGTCACCATCCACACAAAGGTGTGTCCACTCTAGGAGTGGGTCTGTCTGGGGATTACCCATGAGCAGCACAGTTCCAAAGCCTCACAAACCCTAAAAGCAGATGATGGAAGAGCTGCCTGTTCCCCTCACCCACACTCAGAATACTCTGGGGTCCCGTGGCGAGTGCTGACATTACCCCTTCCCTCCCTTCCAGGTGGAGAGGAGATTATGGTGGAAAAAAGCAGCTGTGGTTCCCTTCCAACTATGTAGAGGAAATTACTAGTCCCACTAGCCTGGAGCCAGAACAGGAGGTGAGTATGGCCATGAGTGCAGCAAGGAGGGTTTGTGCCCCCCGAGCTTGGCTGCTCTGCCCACCGTGCCCAGCACCATCCTGCTGTGCTTCCTTCCCAGCAGCAGCTGGATGAGAACAGCCCCCTGGGAGACCTGCTGGGAGGTGTCCTGGACGTGCCCTCCTGCCAGATCGGTGAGTGCCAGGGAGGGACATTGCAAAGGCCCCTTGAGGCTTCTCAGCCCTCACTTATTGCTGCCTGGGCTCCAGCTGTGGCCTCCAGTGGCCAGAAATGGGAGTTTCCTGTAGCTGCAGAGTGCCGGGGTAGCCACGAGTCCCTGTGCCTGTCTTCTGCCATCCTGCCTGTGAAGGGCTTGGCTCAGCACCTGCAGTGACCCTGTCCCCTGCTCCCTGTCCCACAGCCATCCGCCCCGAGGGGAAGAACAACCGGCTCTTCGTGTTCTCCATCAGCATGTCCTCGGTGTCACGGCTGTCCCTGGACGTGGCGGCCGACACGCACGAGGACCTGCTGGACTGGGTGAAGAAGATCCGGGAGGCAGCTCAGACAGCTGATGCCAGGGTGAGCCTGCGGAGCCCGTGGCAGGGGAGGAGGCATCTCCAGGGTCTCCAAGTGCTGGGTTTTGCAGGAGCTGAGGAGCAGGTGGAGGCTGGTGGGGGGCAGTGAGGTGACAGCCTGTGATGGCTGGCAGAGCAGTCGCAGAGGTGGTAAAGCCAGGGCAATCTTGGACAGTGGGGCAAGGGGTGGTGGCCACACAGCTTGAGAGGTTCAGGCTGGATATTTGGGAAGATTGGACGACTGGCTGAGTGCTCAGTAGGGGAGGGGGTCTCCATCTGTGGAGGGTGGCAGGGCCACAGATGCCCTGTGCTGGTACCAGTGCCTGTCCTGCTCTGGGCAGGATGCAGGACCTACCCAGGCCCTGTCTGTGTGGTGTCCCCCACACAGACCTGGCAGATCTGCTGGTGGTCCCCACAGTGTGGGCAGGAGCCACAGCAAGCAGTGAGGGTCAGCTTATTAGTTGGGTCATCTATCACCACTGCTCCTACCTGGCCTCACACCTCTCTCACCCTCTCTTGGCAGCTCTCTGAAGGGAAGATGATGGAGAGGAGAAAGAAGATTGCTCTGGAGCTTTCAGAACTGGTGGTCTATTGCCGACCTGTGCCCTTTGATGAAGAGAGTGAGCATCTGCTGAGCTGGTGGCCATCACAGGCAGTCACTGTGGCATTACAGACCCTGTGGTGGGCCCCAAGGGGCTGCTTTGGCTAGATCTCAGCAGAGGCCAGGTGTCCAATGTGTCAAACCTCCAGTTTACCTTGGAGCCCTGGGTAGCTCCAGAGGGATCCCTTCTCTATCCCTCTGCTGCTGGGGTCTGTCAGCACCCAGAGCAGCTGCTGAGGGAGTGGGGCTGGGGAGCATCGTGCCTGGTCAGCAGGAGCTGTGTTGGTGCTCTCAGTCATTGGTGTTGGGCACCTGGCAAAGACCCACTGGGGCAGAGCAGGATCTGCAGAGCCCTGGCTGTGCCAGGGGTGAGAGGATGGCATCAGGAAGGAGCTGGGGTGGTTAAGTGTCAGCAAAGGGAGTGTGCTCCTGGCTGACACAGTGCTGTCCCCTCCCAGAGATCGGCACAGAGAGGGCCTGTTACAGGGATATGTCCTCCTTTCCTGAGACCAAGGCAGAAAAATACGTCAACAAGATCAAGGGCAAGAAGTTCCTGCAGTACAACCGCCTGCAGCTGTCCCGCATCTACCCCAAGGGCCAGCGCCTGGACTCCTCCAACTACGACCCCCTGCCCATGTGGATCTGTGGCAGCCAGCTGGTGGCACTCAACTTCCAGACCCCGGGTGAGGGCAGCGGGCAGGGAGGGTGGGCTGGCTCCTGGGGTGCCCTGTGCCTCCTCTGAGCCACCTGCTGAGCCCTGCTCCTGGCACATGGGGGCTGGGAGGGGCTCTGCGTCTTGGAAGGGCTCTGCAGGCAGGGAGACCCGGGTTAATGTGCTCCAGAGGGCTGGATTGAGCCAAGGAGCTGCACTGAGGATGGGGATTGTGCCATGAGAGCAAGATGGAATGGAGAGGAGGCAGGGGGTTCTCCCAGGTCCCTGGTGACAAGCAGGGCAGGCAGGGAAGGTGCCACAGGGGATGGTGCTGCCCCAGGCTTGGGACACCAGCTGGCTGCTTGGTCTGAGCCCAGCTGGCTGCTCTTCTTGCCTTTGCCCAGCTTCCATTCCTGCTCCTGCCGTGCAGTCCAGCCTTCCTTTCCCTGGCCTTTGCCAAACCCTGCTGTGAGCCTGCTCAGCTCAACGACACACCAGCAAACAACCTGCCTCTTTTTTCCTGCCAGCTTTTTCATTCCTTCTGTGAATTCAAGCAGCTCACAGGGGGTTTGGCAAATGCTACAGGCAGCACACGGAAAGCTGAAAATAGGAGGAAAAGAGGGAGGTGACCCATGGGGCTCTGGGTAGTTGGGCAGATCGTGCATGACAGAGTCACCTCATGGCCCTGACACGTGCACAGGCTGCAGTGGGGACACATTGCTCAGCATTGCCAAGGGGTGAGCCAGGTCCTCTTGCCAAGGGAATGATGGGGGTGATGATCCAGCTTGTCCACAGGGTATCCCTCATCTCCTGTATCTCCTGCCTGTGCTCTAGACAAGCCCATGCAGATGAACCAGGCCTTGTTCATGTCCAGTGGCCAGTGTGGGTACGTCCTGCAGCCGACCAACATGAGGGACGACATCTTTGACCCCTTTGACAAGAGCACGTTGCGGGGCACAGAACCGCTCTCCATCTCCATTGAGGTCAGTACCTCCTGGTGTGGGGGAATGCAGGGTCAGACCCCAGTGGGGTACCAGATTTGGGGTGAGAGAATGGTTTCTCTGGGCTCCTGGCTCTGCCTGCAGCAGCTCCTCACCGGCCCCCTCAGCAGCACAGACTGGGAGAGCCCTCGCTGGAGAGGGGCACTCGTGGGTGCTGCTGAGGGTGCCTGGAGAGGAGCAGCAGGAGCATCCCTGGATGCTCCCCCAGGACTCCTCCAGTCCAGGTCCCGGTGCCAGCAGGTGGCATCCACGAGCCGCAGAGGTGGCATCCCTGTCCCCAGGGCCCGGCCGGGACTGCATCCACAGGCTAACAACACGAGAGCTGTGCTTTGTCCCCTCCTTGTCACTCAGTTGCTCCAGGCTCGAGGTTTCCATTTCCCCTTGCTCATAGTCCCTCTTGGGAAGATGCTTGAGGTCAGGGCAAACTTTTCAGGCCATTTCTGTGTTGTGCTGCTGGTGATGATAAGAGGAGGGGGATTGAGGGTGGGGGGGTGCCAGAGGATGGGGTGTGGATGCTTGATGAGTTTTTTTTACTTCCCTAATGGTGCAACTGAGGCTGGATTATTCCTGTGTCAGCTCTGAGAGCTGCACAGGAGAGGCTCTGCAGGGACATGGGAGAGCTCACCAGGCAAAGCTTTGGAGGGCTGTGCCAAACCAGCTGGCTCTCATGTTTGGGGTCCAGTGGCATCCAGTAGCCTGTACAGGCATTCCCTGTGGTCTCAGAACCAAGCTGTGGGTCAGCAGTCTGCTTTGCCAGTCCCCTCAGCTCGTGTAGACCTTGGGGAGGATGCAGTGGAGATCCTGTCTTCAGGTGCTCACAGGTTTCCTCTGCAGCCACCTCTGTTTTGGAGTGATCCCACCTAAAAAAGCCACAGCCCTTCTTCATGAGGACACCCTGTCATCTACCCTCTGCACCACTGACTCCATGCTCACTGTCTCCCTAAAAAGTCACCGCCCTATTCTGTTTTCCAAGCTCTTCCTGCAGCGCAGGATGCAGCTGCCCCCACCAAGTGTCAGGAGTCATCGTGCCATAGCCAGTCACTGTCGCCTTTAAGAGACAGGCTCAGCCTCTCGTTGTCTGGCAAAACTGCCTGCTGTCCCCACCAAAGCCAGCTTGCATGGATGGAGAAGCCATCTCGAGCCCAGCATGACTCAAAGCACATGATCCAGCGTTGGCAGCAGGTCCTTCCCCTGCAGCAGCAGCGTGCCGACAGCACGCCGGAGCGACATATGGCCACGGGCAAGAGGGAGCTGCCATTGCTCTGCTGCGAGGAGGCAGCTTGTCATGTGAGGGGAGCACAGGCTGTGCTGCAGGCACGAGGCAGAGCAGGGGTGGAGAGCAGCTCCTTTTCCTCCTCACACCAAGGCAGGAGGGCCGAGAAGTTCCGGCAAAGATGAGGGGGTCCAGGGTAGTGCTCCCAGCAGGGAACGGTGCTCGGCAGGGAGCCCAGCTCCAGCTTGGCCGGCTGGAGGAGGGATGCTGTGGCCCAGGCCTGGCTGTGCCAGCAGCAGGCAGAACCTGGAGCAGTTCAGCTGCTTTTTTTTGTGGCTTACAAGTAAAAACTGTGGATGAAGAACACTACAGCAGCTTCCAGGGGTGGGAGCTGTTTCTCTCCGAGATGCGGGCTGGGCTGGCTGTCAGTGCTGCTTCTCTCTCCAATTAGCAGAGCCAGGGTGATTTATTTGTGAAGAAAATGTCTTGGTATGCAAACACGTTTTTTCCTCTTTGTTCCTGTCTCTTACCAAGTCTCTCCCTGCCCTCTGCTCAGGTCCTGGGGGCCCGGCACCTTCCCAAAAATGGAAGGGGAATCGTTTGTCCCTTCGTGGAGGTGGAGGTGTCTGGTGCTGAGTACGACAATGCCAAGCACAAAACAGAGATCGTGGGTGAGTAGGGTGGGGAAGGGAAGGGAGAGGGAGGCACCAGCACTCCTGATCCTGGTGTGAGCCATGGGCTCTGCAGCAAAGCCTGGCACTGAGCTGGGAGCTGCCCTCGTGCTGCTCCCAAGCCCAGCATCAGCCATGGGGGCAGTGGAAGGACTCAGTGGGGCTGCCCACTGACAGTTGTGTTTTGTGAGCAGCTGACAACGGCCTGAACCCTCTCTGGACCCCGAAGCAGTTCCACTTTCAGGTCAGCAACCCTGACTTTGCCTTCCTCCGCTTCGTGGTCTACGAGGAGGACATGTTCAGTGACGAGAACTTCCTGGCTCAGGCCACCTTCCTGGTGAAAGGCTTGAAGACAGGTGAAGCACTTGGGACAGCAGGGAGTGGGGTCGTGGGGGTCCTCACCAGTTCACACTGTTAGCCAGGGAGATGCTGAGTTTCATGGGAGGGTGTTGTTGGGCCCCAGACTGGCTCAGTCCTTCTGTCCCCATGACAGGTCACATCCCCAGCCAGTTAAAGGAAGGTAGAGCCATTTGCTAATAGCCATTGGGGCCACCTGCCACTTTGAGGGAAATTTGGGGGTTTGGAGAATCACAGAATCATAGACTGGTTTGGATTAGAAGGGACCCTAAAGACCATCTTCTTTCAGCCCTGCTGCCATGGGCAGGGACACCATCCACTATCCCAGGCTGCTCTGAGCCCCATCCAGCCTGGCCTTGGACACTTCCAGGGATGGGGCAGCCACAGCTTCTCTTGGCAGAAGAGAAAAAGGGTCTTGTGGGAGAAAGACCCTCTTGAGTTCTGTGGCAGGGCACTGCCACCTCACCTCCTGTGCCGTGAGTGACAGCAGGGCTGTCTCTGCCGTAGGTTTCCGAGCTGTTCCCCTGAAGAACAACTACAGTGAGAACCTGGAGCTGGCTTCTCTGCTTGTCAAGATAGACATTTTCCCTTGCAAGGTGAGACTGGCTGCACACATGAGATGAGGCCCTGCCCACTCTCCTGCTCCAGCTGGGGCAGTGAGGCTCAGTGGTGCCTGGCCTGAGTGCTGTGGATAGCTGAATTCCCAGTGCTGCTCCGTGGGGATGCCCAGCAGGAAAGCAAGCACTGGGTTTGCCTCCTGCAGCAGTCAGGGTCTTTCAGGCAGGGTCCTGCCTGCACTGGGTTTGACTTGCCTGGAAATCCCTTCAGCAAAAGCTGGAGAAGGCGGATTTGTCACAGTGCCTGTCTGTGCTCCAGGGACATTGCAGCTCAGGATCATGGAGCTGGCTGGCCTGGGGCTATCCCTGTTGGCATAAACAGAGGGCAGGGCTCCTTCTGGGACAGATGGTTCTTTTATTTCTTCATTTGAAATGGTGCTGGTGGGAGCCAGCGATGGCTGTTAGAGCAGCTGCACATTGCAAACCCCAAGCCCCCATGAGCCCTGGACACCCTGCAGGGCAGCCAGGGCCCTGCCCCACAACTGCCCTTGCTCCAGGATGTATGCTTTGAAATCACAAGCCCTTGACTACAGTATTTTTTTCCTCATCCAAGCAGGAAAATGGCGAAATAAACCTCTTCAGTGCTTCATCCCTACGGGAGCGAGCAGGGGACGGCTCCAGCCAGCTGCTGGCAAGCAGAGGCAGAGAGGGCTCCTTTGAGTTGCGGTACCAGCAGCCTTTCGAGGATTTCCGTGTGTCCCCAGAGCAGCTCGCTGACCACTTTGAGAGCCGGGAGCGAAGGTGAGGCCAGTGCTCATTCAGCTCTTCCCCTGCAGCATAACGCTCCCTGCATTTAGTCTGGCTGGAGGCAGTGAACGCAACTAGCTCAAAGTGGAGCTGCAGCCTTGTTTGCTGCTTGCAAACCCTAAATTTGAGCTGCAAATTGTGCCAGTGCTTGTGGCAGTCACTGCTGCGGGGGTAGGGTGGGACACCACAGCTGGTGGCATTATCCCCAGTCATGGGGGATGTGGCTGAGCCCCCACTTTACTCCAGTGGGCAACTTGAGACCAGCAGAGCCTTGTCCTTGGTCGTCCCGTGGTGAGGCTGAGCTGTGTCCCCTCTGTGTGCCCCCTTCCAGGGTACTGCGGAGGACCCGGGTCAACGGGGACAACCGGCTGTAGCCCATCCCGGCGGGCGAAAGCACCTCCAGTGCTTGTGAATCTCACAGCACGCTGTGAACTGGTTTCTATGGAAACGGCACTGCTATGGCCTACTTTCAGGCAGCTTTTCCAGTTTCTCTGCTGAAGTGTGTTCAAGTGGAGAACTAAAAAAAAAATAAAAATACTGGAAACAAACCCCACCCCGAACCAGCCCCAAGCACCCACCAACCTTCACCACGAAGCCCTTAAGAAGCGCGTCGGTGCGGCCAGGCTGCCAGAGACCAAACTGTCTATAATCACAAGGAGAGACCTAAAAATTCCCCATCCAGCCTCTGTGCCACTGCTCTGCCTGTAGTCCAGAGATGGTGTGCAGCTGCTGGAGCCTGTTTGCAGCCATCCCGTGCTGTGTCCGTTCCCAGAGCTCTGGGCCTGCAGTGACCACAGCAGCACCTGTCTGTCCTGGTGCCACCACGTCTGACCTGTATAGCCACTGCCGAAGGGTCCAGTAGTGAAACTCTGCATTTACAGGGCCGCTCTAGCTTTAAATGACAATAAAAGTGTCAGTATTATGTGTGTGCTGGCTCAGGTGTCTGGTGGTCTGTGCCCTGCAGAGCTGAGGTGCAGCCATTCCTGAGGAGAGCTTGCACTGCTCCCTCCCTTCTCCTGGCTTTAAGAGAGGAAAAATAACCAGGAACAGCCCCAGGTTTTATGCTGTTCACTCAAAAGGGTAAAACAGTTACGTGCTCCAGCTGCCTGTGCTGTTCTGAGGCAGGCTGGAGACAGAACTCTGGGATGAAGAAGCACCCGTAGGGTCGAGGTGTCTGGGCACTCATGGCCTACCCCATGGAAAAGTTGTCATTCTTTTAAAATAAATGAGGAGGTTGTGATGGAGCACTCCCAGCCCAGCAGCTGGAAGGCAGGCACAGCCATTCCTGGGCCCTCCCAAACCCCAGTGCAAGCACCACTCAACTCACGTTTGATTTTTACGCTCTTTATTTAGGAACAACCAAAAATGTCTGGTTTCATTTCAACAAACTGTACAAGCAAGCTCTTCCCCTTGCCCACCCTCACATCCACATATACAAAAGGAAGGGAAACTTGCCGTTCACTTCTCAGAAGTGGCATTGTTGCTACAGGGAATTCTTGCCCTCAGAATAAGAGCAGGTAAAGTCCATAGCACGTACAAGCTACCCTAGCCCTAATAATAGCTACAGCCCACAATCACAGGCAGCTTCTTTTTTTGTTTCCTCTTTAAAACCTTTACCAAAAGTAAAAACTATTTCCTGTTTCACACGATTGCCAAGGTGACCATTTAAAATTGTGGTCTTCAAAAAAAAAAAAAACTGAAGTAACAACCCCCCTGGAACCCCCCACACCTGCCCGGTACAAAGACAGCTTTACACAGCAGAGCTCTCGCCCTGCTCCCTCACTGCACCGGCCACCCTTATGAAAGGTCCCGTTGCAGCTACAATTACATTTTCCTTTGGATAAATCCAAGCAAAAATTCCAGGTCATTCAGCACCAGCATGATTTCTAAATAACAATAATTAAAAAAAAAAAAAAAAAAAAAAGAGACCCCGTTAGGCTGACTTTGTGGTCTGCTGAGAAACAAAGTGATCAACACGCTGTTCCCAAAGTCTCTCTTTTAGTGCAATGTTAGTATGTGCAAGGGGAATCACAGCCACGTACCCATAACACCACCACGAGCCAGATGGGGCAGAGAGAAAGTGCAATTTTAGCTAGACATTTTCTATGCCATGGATTCCTAGCCCAACCTTCACTAGCACCAGTAAGCAAGAATCCTCCTAACACCACCTTCCATCAGTACAGGGAAAAAGGGGCTTTAATTGTGCCATCAGAATATGCCAAACATCACCCAAAAGAGCACTTGGGTCATAACAAGAAAACCCAAAATTTAAAAATAAAAAAAAAAAATCACTGCTTACATAACTGAGTTCCCTTGCTCTGCTTTCAAGTTTTCTGATGCCAATCCAACATTCCTGGCACACACCACTGCCAGTAAAACATACAGCAGAAACTAAATTCCTCAATAAAAAGAAGAACAGGAATAGCCTGCAAGTGCCTCGTTCCCCTCCATGTGTTGTGTTGCCTAATCTTACCCTGCTGGTTTTGGGATCAGCTGAGAAGTGACACCAGAGCTTTACAGGTGAGCTGAATCACATCAGGACCTTGACTGATTTGAAGAGAGCAAAGCCAAAATGATCTGGGCAACAGGGAGAAAATGTTTACAAGCATTTTAAATACTGTCACCCTAATGGGAATGTGCAGCATCCCATTCACTTTGTAATTTGTGCCCAAGTGCTGAAAATTATATTTTTCTTCTGATTCCCAATGAGCAAGCTTTTGATCAGTTTGTCTCTGTTATATCTGTAAGAGAGGGGCTGCAGGGAAAACAATGTAACACTTCTGCAGGGGACCAAAATCCGTTGCTTTCCAATTAAAAAAATGAAATACCCAAAACCCTAAATGAAAAACCAGCCTACTACAGCTTCCCTCTCTTGAACTGTCAGGGGACACATAACAAAAATTAACCCAGCAGGTATCTTCCAGCTCTGGTGAGCATCCTCCAACCAGGTTAAGGACTACAGTGCTTCTCTGCCAGCAGCTACTGCTCTTGCTGGTAGCTTCTCCTGGTGACCAACTCAGGGAGGGGACATGAAATCACACTAAGTACCTGCAAGCACCTGTGCCCATCCTCCCACCACGCTGCTGGCCTGATGTGCAGCATCACTCAGCTCTCAGGCAAGTGGAGACAGGAGCCTGTAGATCATTGTTTGCTTAGTGTTCTGCTAAAAAAAAAGAAAAATAATTTCAAGGATGCTAATTAACAGAGCTGAAAAATAAGGTACCCAAATGAAACATGGAACAAAGAATAGAAATCTCATGGCAGGGGCTGCTGATATCAATGAATAAAGAAACTCAGTTCTTTGCACCAGGAGAACCAGCAGCCCTTCCCAAGAGCAAGCCAGGGCCAGCACAAATCAGGGCTTCGGGTTATTAAGCAATTGGATTGTGTCCTTAATCTAAGCAGCCTCAGAGACATAAGTAACAAGATTCACATGGATTAAAATTGATGGTTTCTGCTGTGCCTGCCAAGCCCAAGCTCAGGCACAGCGGATGGAGGTGCAGAATTTAATTTCCCTTCCTTACTGATGCTGGCTCCATCACCTCGATCTTACACCCCTTTCAAGTCAAGATAGTCATCTTTGATTAGATGATGATAAATATTCACACACTGTGAAGAATTGTGGTGACACTTCCTCTTAACACCACAAGAGCTGCTGTTGGGACTGTCAAGCCACCTCTCAATTTTTCTTTTCAGTTTCAGATGCAAACACTTTCCCAATGTCCTGCACCAGAACCCAGTCTGTTTGGAGATGGCACCTGTTTCTCCTCCTCAGCAGAGAAACAGAAGACCACAGAACTAAACCCTCAAAAATCTGCAGCTTATACTTTTATGGAGATTTCAAGTCAACTAAAAAATGCAGATAACAAGGAATGTAGGAGTTAGAAAGGGAACTTGATCATGTTTTGATTTCTTTTCTGTCTCTAAATCTTACCCTCCCCACGCAAAGGCGTTTGCCAGCCCCGTTGCCATGTCCAAGGGGAGTCTGCATGGAACCACTTTTTAAAATTCCTCCGACCCAAAAGAAAGAAAACTCCTGCTGTGCTTGTATGAATGCATGGAGACAAAGCTCAAAAACCTCAGCAGCTTCCAACCCTCAAGGCTGGTTTTTCTGTGTACACCGGGAAATTCTCCCTCCAGCTCATAAGACTTCTTTTCAATTTTTCTGGAAAACTGGCTGAATACAATCCAAGTGCAAAATATTTCAGCTAGTGCATCAAAACATGGTTTGAAGGGACCAGTTCATACCATAGTCCTTAAGCATTCCTGTAGATGGAGCGGGGATCACTCTTCCAATCAGCCATAGGCCCTTAAGTGTACATCAAAAATCCCACAGAAAATCACCTTGAATGGGCAAACTACACTTCCAACGTATTTATATAGCAAGTAGTTAGTAAAAGTGTACATTTTTAATGTACATCATAATGCAATAAAGAATCAATGGCATATTTGAACTGTATATATGTGTAGTTAAATAAACCTGCATGTACACAGACACTACAGAGTAAATTGACCTACCTGTATTTGTTCTCTGAAGGTGACACTGACATACATCCATATTCTCAGGCTGCGCAACTCCCAGATCTGCTTTCAGCTCTAGAACCACCCAGATTCTGCCACCCTCTCTGATATTTTGGGGTGCACAGGATTGCACCCATGAGGGTGAACCCCTGGGCCTGTTACCACAGGGCAGCTGTCCCTGGTCCCCAAAGAGGGACCCACGGGGATGCCACCGGCTGAGCCATGTCCAGCCAAGGTGGGATGGCTGCTGGTCCTGCCTCCAGCTGTGTCATGACCATCAGCAGTGCTCCCCCAAAGGCAAATTCAGGGAGCCTGGTGCCACGCAGGCTGCTCCAGGTCGGAGCCAGCCCTGCTCACAGGTGGTGGGATGGCTGCTGTGGCTGGGGGATGCTCAGTGCGAGTGGCCACACCCCAGGCGTCACGCCGCTCCCTCTGGGGTGCAGCTCACCTCTGTCTGGAGCAGATGGTCACACCTGGCCATGGTCTCACACCAGGGAAGCCCTGTGAGCTCAGGAACAAGCACCCAGCACATCCCACCAGGCGAGGGGAAACCTCTGCCAAAGCACTGAGCAGCCACAGCCCCTCCCAGCAGCTGAGCAAGGCAGCCTCTGGAAGAGGGGGCGAAGAAAGAATTGCAAAAGCAAGGGCAGTTAAAGGTAGAAATCAGACACCATCTTTGGAAGAGGTTCTGAAAGAGCTTTTTTGTTTTTAAAACAGATTTTTTGTAAATCTCTGGATCTGATCCTGTGGAGTTTGCTACCCACCCTCCTAATAAATATCATTTACCACCAACAATAAAGTCTCCCACATTAAAAAGCTCTCACTAAATAAAAACCTTCTACTGAAAAAGCTTGGCTGAGTTGGCTTGGCAAAAAATAGGCAGCTATGACTACTCTCCATAAATACATCAGCAGATAAACACCAAAAACTATTTAAGTTAAAGGACAATGTTGGCTCCAAAACAAACCAGGAATGTACCAGCCACAAATTAATTCAAACTAGAAATTTAAATACAGTTTCTAACCACTCAAAGGCAGTCAATTTCTGGACTAGCCTTCCAAGAGCAAAAGTGAAGGCAAAACATGGAACCAATTTGGAGCTGGGATTTGATTAGTTTGTGACAGAATGATCTGACACAGCATTTGGCTGGACTATTCAGCTCAAGAGTTTCCCTTCTAGACTTTGTTTTCTATTAGAAAAGAATATTTAAAGCAAAAATGTCCAAGCAGTTGCATCACACAGCAACCACACAAGACAACACACATTAAAAATGTACAGGTACCAGGCAGCAGGCAGGATAACTGGGAAATTTATTTTGCTCTTTTTCCAGAACTATTGCACATGGCCTGGGGAAAAAAAAAAAAAAAAAAAAGGGAAAAAATAAGAAAAGAAAAAACAAAA